TTAGGGGTCTTGGTGACGCTAGGCGTAAGAGGGATGCTTTATTTTTTTATTATAAGTTGAAGCCCTGGATTTTAATTCTTCAAGAGACCAAACTTCCTAGTCCTAGTGTTTCTGGGGCTAGGTAGGTCTAGGGCTTAAGGGCTGTTTTTCTGTGGTATTGATGCTGTTGGAGCATCTGGTGGCTTATAGGTATTGTGGGACTCTCTTGTTTTACAAAATTTTGAGACTGTTATTCGAGACATATTGTTACTTCTTGGCTTTTATGGTCCTATCCGGGGGTTCTCTTAGGGAATTATGAATGTTTATGGTCTTAATGACCCTGCTCTTAAGGAAAGTTTTGTCAATGATATGGATTGAGTGATTTAGCAATTTCATTTCCCTCTGTGCATGGGGGGATTTTAATCTTATCAGGTGGCCAGATGAATGTTCTATAGGATCTTCTATTAATTATTCGATGATGTTGTTTAATAGATTTATATAACGTAATTCTTTATTTGATATACCGATTGTTGGGGCTAAATTTACCTAGTCGAATAATAGTACCATTAGTCTTTCAATGTCAAAATTAGATAGATTTTTGGTATTTACAAATTGGGTGGATGTCTTTCCTCTCGTCTCTATTAGAGCTCTTCCACGTCTATCTTCTGATCATATCCCCATTTTGTTATACAGTAGCATGGAGAGAGGTAGGCAGAAGCCTTTTAGGCTAGATATTGGGTGGTTGGAAAAGAAAGAAGTGGTAGAAGTCATTAAAACCACCTGGAAGGACACAATTTCTATTGGTTCCTTGGATTTTTAATTGCACAAAAAGCTGCTCAATATTAAACATAAGCTCATCGTCTGGAAGAAAGAGAATAATTTAAATGTTCAGTCCAAAATTGATGAGGTCTTATATGAAATTGAAGCTTTGGACCAGCACGTTCAGTCTATATGTGTGTTAATCAAGGAGTTGATGGGTGAAAGGAGTTCGAAGTTGAAATCTCTTCATGATCTTTGTAAAGTTGAGGAGTTATATTGAAAACAAAGATCAAAGATAAAATGGTTAAAGGAGGGTGATTTGAATGCTAAGTTATTTCATTTTATTGCGAGAAGAAGGTAAAATGATATTTCTTATTTGACTATTCCTGATATTAAGGCAGATGATAGTGTGGCAATGGAATGGGCTACTATTGACCATTTTAAGAAGGCTTTTTCGACGGACGTGAAGTTCACTCTAAAACTGGAATGGGTACCTTTTAAAGTTTTGACAATAGAGATGAATTCTAATTTGGAGCGTAACATCTCTATGGAAGAACTAAAGGGGGCCGTTTTTGCTTTACTTGGTGATAAGGCTCCAGGCCCAGATGGTTTTCTTCTTTCTTTTTTCATAGATTTTGGAATTTGATTAAGTCTGAATTATTAGCTATGGTTAGAGCTTTTATGTCTAGGGGTGAGATATTTAAAGGATTTAATGCCACTTATATAGCTCTTATCCCTAAAAAATCAGTGATAGCAGAGTTATCAGATAATGGGCCCATCAGTCTTCTGACCAATCTTTATAAGATTGTGGCAAAGGTCTTGGCTGAAAGATTGAAGTCAGTCTTACAATTTCTTATCTATAACACTCAATCTGCTTTCATTCAGAATCGTCAAATTACTGATAGTATTTTGGTGGCTCAAGAGTGTATTCATTATAGAGTGAAAAGTCAAATTCTTGGAGCCATTATTAAACTTCAAGGAAAAAGCTTATGACATAGTTGAATGGGGGGGTGCTTATGGAAATTCTTAAGAATATGAGTTTTGGGGCTAAATAGAGGAATTGGATATTTGGATGTTTATCATTTGCCGATTTCTCAATACTTTTTAAAGGAAGCCGTATTGGTTTCTTAAGGCTTCTAAGGATTTTCGCCAAGGGAACTCCATGTCACCATTCCTTTTTCTATCTATGCAAAATGCTTTAGCCTAATGATTCATAAAGTGGAAGGTTGTGGGAATTTCTCTGGTTTTAAAGTGGTTGAAATGGGTCTAAGAATTTCTCATATGCGGATGATACACTTATTTTTTGTGAAGCAGATGAGACGTAAGTAAAAAACATTGCTCGATTTTTAAATTGTTGTGAGGTGGTTTTGGGTTTGAAGGTCAATTTCTATAAGACCTCAATGATAGGTATTAACTGTTCTCCGACCTTGATTCAATATTTGAAAAATCTTTTGGGTTGCTTGGTGGGCTCTTTCCCCTTTACTTATCTAGGAATGTCAATATCAAATTCTAAGCCCTCTATAACTGTTTTGGATAAGGTATTAGAGAGAGTCCAAGTGAAGTTGGATCTTTAAAAATCGAAATACCTATCTATAGGTGGTAGGGTTGTATTGATAAGTTCTTGTTTAGCTAATTTACTAATCTACTTGATGTCTCTTATTCAAATGTTAGCCTCAGTGATAAGAAAAATTGAAAGAATGATGCGTAATTTACGGTGGGGGTCTTTTGGGGAAGAAATAAAGTATCACTTACTTAGATGGGATCGTATTTGTACTCTTAAGAGTGAATGTGGTCGTAGAATTAGAAATATAAAATATATATGAATGAGGCATTGCTTTGTAAGTGGTGGTGAAGAAGTTTTTAGTATACAGATCAGCTTTGGTTCTAGGTTTTGTCTTCGAAATATGGCCTGGATAGGCAAGGAATGTGGTTACGAGGGGGTAAAAATAGAGAAATGTCTTATCTATGGACATTTATTTACAAATGTAGGTCAATGATTGCGAGTTATTTTCGTTAGAATGTTGGTTGTGGTAACATCTCTTTCTGGCATCATAAGTGGATAGGTGATGCCCTTCTGAAGCTTACTTATCCGGAACTTTTTGCTAAGGTTTCGCAACCTAATGTTAAGGTTTCTGATATGGTTGAAATGAGAGATAATCGTGTTGTTTGGCGTTTTAATTTCCCGTATAATAGGCTAAGTAAAAATATTTATCTTCAATGGAACGATTTGATAGGTATCTTGGATTCGGTTTATATTTCCCAATGGGCAATAAATGAAGTGATTTGGGAAGTTGAGTGCGATGGGATATTTTCAGTCAAATCTTGTTATCGGCTTTTTTTTCACGATAGATGGAGATGGTCTTTACCTGTCGTAGCCAAAGTATGGAAATGACATGTTCCCCAAAACGTGCAGGTGTTTTTATGGTCAGCTATCCAAAATAAGATTTTGACGGTGGATAATTTGATCAAGAAAGGTAAAACTTTGATGTAGAAGGGTAAAACTTTGATGTGTAAAGTGGATGAAGAATCTGGGGAGCATCTTCTCTTGCCACATTGCCTCAAGAATTTGGTACTGGTTATTTGGGCTACTTGAGGTTCATAAGCCTCAAGAATTTGGTACTGGTTATTTGGGCTACTTGGGGTTCATGCTTCACTGCCCTAATCTGTGATGGGTACTTGGGGTTCACGCTTCACTGCCTTAATCCCTAATCTGTGATGGGTTTAGTGTCACAATTAGCCTTTAATCATTTACCTTCCAAGGGAATTTTGGTGTAACAAATAACGAGAAGGGTACTCTATGAGAACTATGGAAATACAGAAATAGATGGATGGTGCAAGAATGTTTTGAAGAGGTCAATTGCTCATATGCTGGCTCTAATAGTATAACTACGGCTAACCAATCATAGTTATTGGCTCTGTTGCAAAGGTTAAAAAAAAATTCTCTCTAAAAACATCGAGAATAGCTACCTTATTGAATCTCAAGAGTTAAAAAAATTTCATCTCTATAAACATCGAGAATAGCTATATTATTGAAAGACATTCAATGAACGCAATTAATTAATACAAGAAAGAACAATGTATACCATTGGAGCCATTGAAACTAAAGTTTAACTGATTGCATATTATAGATCTTGTGGCTCCAAGCTCCATCGGAGATTATGGATCTGGAATCTACTTTCAATTTCTTTTTGTCATATCTTTCGCGCAAGACAAATTCCTTAGTTGACTAAAAAAAGGGCATCTGTGTCCGCTCTAATTATCTCCTATGATGTAATTTATTTTGAGTAGATTTTATAAATAAAATGAAAACTATTTATCAAAAACAAAAAAAAAAGATTGCAACCCTATATAAACTTTTTCCATTTACAAAACTATTATTTTAAAAATTTCTTTATTTTTCCATATTCATAATCTCCATGTTAGAGAACATATGTCCTTAAAAATTGGGTAAAAAAATCCATCTTAAAAATAAATTTTGAAGTAACTCATTTATATACAATCTAACAGAAACGATATCGTTCATCAACATTTTACTATTTATAGGGTAATCTCTAACACAATCCCCCATATTACAAATAAAATTGTATTCAACAATATTTACTTTTATTACAAGAAGACCATCATCACTTCTATTCATTAGAAATATCTTTATTACACGTCATCCTCACTTCTATTCATTAGAAATATCTCATATGGCTTTGGATAAATTATTATCATCACTTGTATTCATTAGAAATACCTCATATGATTTTTGATAAACTTGGACTAATCGTAAAGTCCAAATTTTTGTTTTTTTTTTGTTTTTAACTTTGATGACGCTTACAACCGCCCACTTTCAAATACCAACAAGAAAAGCAAGTCGGACCACTTGTAAACATTTCTCTTTCCCATCCCATCCGAACAAAGAAACACGAATACATTTATAAAAACAAAGAATGGCGCTTTATTTTTTGCGGCTGCAGAGAAAACGGGATCCACCATAAAAAAGCCCTACCCTATCCCACACGTCTCTATGTATGTGCCCCATTCAATTGCACAACCAACTCTCTTTTTTTTTTACCCCTTAGTGGCCTAGGTGGGGCAACCGCTCCGCCCAGGAGGCTGGGATTCGACCTGGGCCGTTCCGACGTCTAACGGAACCGGTTGGAACCGCCCAGACCGGCTTGGACCCCGGTTGGAACCCAACCATGAGGAGGTTTTTTCCATGCCCCTCTCTCTCGAAGTTTGCGTTGAAGTAAATGTAAGCATGAGAGAGAGAGAAATTTATAAAGACGAAAGCACAAGGATAGTCAATTCATTGGGCAAGCATCCGTAGATATACATGGTAGATAAGTAGCAGGCTTAAAGCAAGACACACACAGAGTCCTATGTACAGTAGTCATAGGAAAGCACACAGCAAAAGCAGAGGAAGCATGACTGCCATGATCAACTGAACTGCCTTATTTCACTCTAGCAAAGCACCTATTTTATCTTCAAAGACACAACACATCCCAACCCTAACATATATTCTTTTTCATAGTAATGGGTTGAAAGGGTTTTCTTTCTCCTCTCATTTGCAGTTGCATGGGTCGCAGGTGCAGTTGGAGCCGCATTTGCATCCGTTCTCGGCAGCCCCGTTCATTTCATAGACCTCCAAGGATCTGCGTCTCCACAAAACAAACAAAACCGCATAAATAACACAACAGACGATCTATCTCTCTCTCCATGAAAGAGATGCACACATACCCCATTTCAGAGGATGCCTCGACTATCCTGGCCTCAACAGTCCTCTCCCCATACACATGCAGATCTGGGTACATATTACACCTGTTGTCTCCATACCATCAAAACGTAATTATTAAAAAAAAAAACTATCAATTAGGAACAAGAAAAACCCTAAAATGCATCATTAACTATAAAAAAGAACACAAAACACAATTTCGGATCGAATCCCCAACTCATCCTAAAATAATTCCTCAAAAAAAGGAAATAATAATAATAATACAGAGATTTTTTGCTATTTTGTGGACTGGAACAACAGTTTTTTATGTCACTAAATGAATAAGTTACAGAAAGATGAAAACCGATTTCTTTGCGGACTAAAACATTTTACATATATAGATTTACAGAAGCTTTTCTTATATGAATTGAAGAACCGATCATTTCTCAAACAATTAAATTACAGAATTAAACCCATCAAAATGTGAAAATCAAAACATTAAAAGAGAAAAACAAATGAAAAAGATAGAAGATCTTACCCTCCACAACCGGAGCCGCACTGGCAGCCTGCTCCACAACCGCAGTTTCCTCCACAGCAAGACATCTTCTCTCCCTAAAAATCACACAAAAACCAAAAACCAAAAACCGGAAGCAGGAAAACTCTCAAATATCACAAAACCAAACAAAACGAGAATGAGAAAGAGAAGGTTGAAAACCTCCAATTTATAGAATATTGAAGCGGTGGAGCAGACAATATCTACCGTCCACCTGTCAGATATCTTACCGTGTGATTATTTAGAGATGGGTCCACCGTTACAGTAGGCCACGTCACCGTCTAATAATTTCCCCTTCTCGATTTCACCGTCCAGTCCACTAAAAAAACGTCGCAACAAATTTGGATATTTCAGAGAGGAAATGACGAATTTACCACTATTTCTTTTACCCAAATTACCCCGAAAAGAGGTTAGGTCTAATGATTTCCGTGACGTTCGGCCCGGGATCAAGAAAACACAAAGGAAAAAAGAAATATAAAATAATTAAATTGTTCATCTCTCATAATAATTCAATAAAATTTCCATTAATAAATACAAAATTCCTCCTGAAAGTTTTATGCATATTTCAATCAAGTAATCAATGGTTCCCCCATATTAGGATGTTGAATTGAGCATGTCCATGTATATATATGGGTCACAATTTTTTTTTGCCGAAATTCACACCGGAATAAAGTTGAAAAAATTTAGAGATTTTTGGATGTCATGTTCATCTCAATCTAAGTTTCATTTGATGAAATATAATATATAATTCTCTACTCACAATTTTATCTTATCTTTTTGGCTTAGTTAATTGTCCTACATGTCTAGAAAATTGACATCATATTTTCGTTATTGTTTTTCTTGTTTGACCTTGGATTGCTCCATTTCTTGTATTCATTTAGTAATAGTTGTCCATGTCAAATACGCAAAGAAAATTCTAGAAAAATGACAAAGTATTTTATATAGAATTTTGTGGCCAGAAGATAACTGAAAGTTTGCTTTCAGGCAAAAGATATAGAACTCGAATTCAAATTCCATACGGCTTTAAAAATCCATCACATAAGGTTATTCAAGGGTTGGAAAACTAGATCATCTTGACATATGGAGTCTTAAAAAATATTGTATCTTGTAACAAATTATCTAAATTGTCAATTTTTTTAAAAAAATTCAAGTGCTCATAGATTTATTTGATTTGAACTATTTTTAGAGTTTGAAATTTTATATTTAGAGATAAAAATAAATTTTTAAGCCATCCTAATAATTTTGGACGTCAAAGTTATATTTAAAATAAAATTTGAAGGTGTTGAAGGTTGCAGCCTTATATTCAGAAATGGGGATTGACTTCCAAATTCATGCGGATATCAAACTCACACGCAAACGAAACACATTTGGACAATTAGTAAGATAACAAAAAGATAAACCTAAAATATTAACATAAACGCCACATAATAAGACTTTCATAAGGAGAGAGAAACAATATTCAAACGTTATGAGAGAGAGAGAGGGGAATTATCCCAAAGTATTTTAGTGATCTTTGTGTTGTAAAATGGGGATTAAAAAATTCCCAGCTTGAACCAGAATTGCTGAGTTCATTGGGAAAGCATGGGGCCGATCCCGTTCTGGGAAACCTCGGCAGAGCTTGATTCTCTCAATTCCATGTTTTTCTGTTGTTTTATCTTATTCAGGTTGTTTGACTCGGGGATATTTCCACTGATAGTGGACGAATCGGATCTATGCGCTAACGATCCATACTGATTTTCTAAACTTAATTTTATGGAATAGAGGGGAGAAGTAGTGCTCAAACGATCACTCATCCAGATCAAGAATTGCCTATATAAAATGGGATTGTGTGGTAGATCAAGAATCGCCTATATAAAATGGGATTGTGTGGTAGCCAAGCCGAGTCCCTCCGGGAATCAAGAAGTGTAGGGTGGCAGCTGCCCGGGCTGCCCCTGACCCTAGTCCCCCATACGGTCGACCTAGGCCTAGGCCCAGCCCCGGACTGGGCCAAAAAGGCCCTGGCCCAAGCTTGGTTGTAGCCCTTTGAAAGCCAAACCAGGCAACATAAAATTCAAAACAAAAAAAAAAAAACAAGAGGGAAAACAAAGAAAAAAGAGGGTCGGGCTGAACCGGGTCAACCTTGGTCCATGCCCACCCCCTACCCTTGGGCCATGGTTGCTTGGCACTGGCCCGATCCTCAGGTCACATTTCATTCCTCGAGCCCTAGTTTTTTAGGGCAATGCTGACCGGGCCTGGCCTTGGCCCATTACCACCCCTAAGAAGCGGCCATATACTTCCTAATTTTCATCGGTTTCCATTTATTGTTCGATTTCTTGATAAATGATCAAGCAAACATGTTATTGAGGAGGTAAATGATCCTATTTGTCCGATTCAAATGGTGACACTTAAGGTCCCATCTGATGCAAGAAGAAAAGGTGGGATATTAAATCCCTCTTTTTTCCTTGTCTTCAAACAAGGAAATCAATAATAAAAGAAAAAAAAGTCATAGTTGTAATTTAAGACATGTGAAAAAGAACATTTTTCTTTCATAAAAATAAATTTCACTCCAAATAATATAAGTCTCCCAAAATGTGAAATTCAATTTTTTATAAGCTTATAAAACTCTAAAATTAACTTACAATCCAAGTAAACATATATATCTCTAAAATAGCCTTAAACAATACTTAAATTCTATAAACACCCATGTGCATAGTAAGTAGTACTTGTGAATAGTAATATGAACAATACTCATGAACATTAAATAAAAAATAAATGATATTAGAAAGGGAAGAGTTTATATCGAGCCTATGCTCTAAACAATCAAGTTAGAGTCTACTTCAAAAATTTTACTAAAATATGTTGTTTTGATGCCCAAATATACTCAAATTGATCATCTCGATATCAAGACGCATGGACATGAGAAAAAAATAGATTTCAAGTTTAAGAAATAGTGTAGTTTTTAACGCATTTTTGGACTTGTCAATTTTCAAAATTACTAAGACTTTCATAAATCTATCGATCTACACTGTTTTTTTAAACTTTTAAAAACTTTTACCTAAAATAAAGTAAATAACTAAACTAAATTATTTTAAAAAAAACCCTTTAAAAAAAACTACTTTTAAAAA